ATTCTATATTGAGGCGTTCATAAATATAGCTATTTGTAATGGTCAAGTAAGAATATACGTATACATACGAATATACCAACCGTAAAAGTGGATAGAAAGAGAATGAGCAAGAGAAATAATAAGCTGTTGTAGGATGCGAGGTAAGCTTTTAGAACTCTTTGGGCTGGTGTCGGGATATGCTTCCACTTGTCGTGGCTAACCCGGTAAACGCTGCGGTTTGCCATCAAAACCAAAGGTCTTCATACGTACAGATAATACCGAGCTCTATACTTCTGAATCCAAAAAACCACTTATCTGTTTTACCTCGACTGGCCCTTCCAAAATATGCATACTTTCTTTACTCTACTACTTCACAGTATTAGTTTAATGTCAAGTCTTAGCACGTGTCACGATGTTGTAATTTTAGTAACTTTAGTTATTGCTAGATTTTTTTACACAAAATAATCATAAAAAGCTTACACTTGTGTTGACAAGTCAAGAAAATTTGTAAAAATTTACTATAATAACAATAATACATTAAAATAGTTTGATAAAAGTTCTTTCTACTTTGAGCGTTCTTTTGTCTCGTATCTTTGGACATTTACCGTGCTCTAAGTAGAAAAAATAGAACTTACACCTGGGCTCTGATTTGGATCTTCAATAAATTATGATTGCGTTCGAGATTTACTGTTACATTATCTACGTACACATTAAAACGAGAAGCCTCATTTCAATCGCAAGTGATTTGACAGTCACATCCAAACTCGATTTCATATATCATATCGAAGTGCAACATCAGACGCCTGATGCGCATCCAACCAAGCCCAAAAAGATCCGTTGAACATGACACTTACTCTGGCAAAATGCGCTATCCAATTAGGTACTAAAAATTTTTTACAATTATAGAAAAAGAACTCACACATTACTTTGAGATCTTAAGGGTAACCCAACGATATCTGAGATCTTCAACCGCAGGTATATTTGGTTTCTTAGCTGTATAACGCTGTTTATGTAACAATTAGCTATTTTATTAAAAAAAAAAAAAAAAAAAAAAAAAAAAAAAAAAAAAAAAACACACACTATAGTTACTTCGAAGAATAAGCCGTAATCTGGTGAAATCAGTTAAGAATTAAAGACGAAAAGTAGAAACTTGAAAGGATGGTAGATTAGGGTGTTCTGCAATTATTTCTTGATGACATTTTTTTTTTTTTTTTTTCAATTTGTAATTCCATGTGTTTTCCATACGGCATTACGTACGGCATCACAAATTGAAAACAAACCACATAGAATGCCGTACTTTTTTCCTGAAGTAATTACATATGAAGATATATTATTCATTTTTGTATTTTTCAAATAAAATAATGTAAAATTTCCAAAACTTATGTAATTTAAAAAAATAGTTTTTTTATGAAAATCTTATCGAAGCTTCACTTTTTCCATGGGTCCCACGATCCATTGTTTTTTTTTTTTTTTATTAAAATAAAGACATTCACTCCACAAATGGCTTTTGAATTGTTTCATTTATTACGTATGATTAATTTTTTTCCATATCAAACTCTGTTTACTCTTTGCACATTAAAAAATGTGCGATAACTTTTTTATACTTTAAAAATATTAAAACCATTGAAAATTCCATAATATTCTAAAAATTTGATGATACTAATATATCTGTATCTAACTCAATACCTTATCTACTAACAGTATCTAACGGAAATAAGGCATATGATTTAGTTCGGATTAAGTTAGTTTATTACTCTCCCAATTATTAGCTACTTCACTTAGACCACAATAATAAATTAATTTGAAATATGTACACATCAGAAGAAGCAGTTGCACATTTTTGTGTCCCCCAAAGAATAAATAGAGCTAGATTTTGGCAATATTTATAAAAGCATAAAGAAGAAACAATAAACATTAGATCACCGCTTATTTGTCTTACATTTAATTTTTTTTGTTTTTAACCATAAATTCTCAATGAATGTTGCTGAGTTTGTACTAAATTTATTCTTCAAAACATTCATACTGTATTTATTATTTTTTATTTATACAATATATAAAATTAAACTTATGTTATCAATAAGGTAGGGAGCAACAATTATCTTCAGACTGTCGTTCAAGTCATAGTCTTTCAGACCTGATCTTAAAGACAAAATCTTAAAGCTAATGGATCTTTGTATCGGTTATTGATTCTAAATACACTTTTTTGGCAAAAAATGTGATGAAAAACACAAAAGTACTGTCAATTGTTGTGTACCATAAGAAATAACCAGCAGTACTGAATCGTGTCTAATTCGTAACAAACAAGCTCTCAAGTATACTAAAAAAAAGGTATATTTTTTTCGTAATCCTCTTAAGGAAGTTCATTCGCTAAGACAACTAACGTCAATATATTGATAATACTTTAAACAGAGATGTATTGAGGGGCTGGATTCAATAACTCGACCTACGCGAATGAAATTTCTAAACCTTTTTATTTTAACTAGAAAACTATGCATTTAACAAAGAAACTGTAAATAGCTGTAAATAGAAATGTGTTGCGTTTTTTCGATTCTCTTTTTTTTATTTTTTTTTGTTAAGTTTTTATAATTTGTTTTGTGACATAACTTTTTAGGGCCTCCGAGAGCTGATCGAGTTATTGAATCTGATTCCTCAATTAGTGTATGAACAACTTTTGATTCAAATTTCAAGTCCCTTTAAGGTTTATAAAGTGAGATACTGATAATTTTATTTTTGAACTTTTAACGTGCAGTCTTTTGAAAATCAGTACTGTTCTGATACATAACCTGCAATATCTGGATAACCGACGTCAAGATATGATTGGAAAGTTTTTTGAAAATAGCTAAAAACTTGGTGATTACGCAGCTATAGTCTCATCTTCATTAATGGCTTATGGAATGAGTAATAAATTAGTGAATAAAATAATTCTCCTCTGACAGCTACTGTTAGTATGTCACGTTAAAAAGGTTAGGTACGAAAGAACCTAAATTAATTTTTATTATGCTATGTAAAAATTTGTGTAGAGCTGTCTTATAATGATGGTTATTTAAAATATAATAAATTACTAGAAACGTAATAATTTGCGTCATTAGATGAGTATCTCAGCTTTCCTAAAAAATATAATAATTTTTCGTATAGTTTTAATACTTTTTTGAACATTACTTTCCTCAATAAACTTAGTTTTAGAACAAAAAATTGTACTGTCGTCACAACGGTAAACAAAGAAAAAGAAAAAAATCATCCTTACTGTCATAGATGTGATTTATGGGCATAAAAAAACAATTATTCCAAAATACTAAAAGAATCAGACTTAAAAGATTCGGGGGGGATTCCTTAAGCTCAACTTTTTGTCACTTTTTTTTCAACAGCTACGTAATAAATTTTATTTGTATCCGCATTTCGAATGGACTCTTACGAAATTTCAAAAAAAATTATCAAACAGTACAAATTTTAAATTGAGGAAAAATCATTATAAAATATTGTACTGAACGACACGTGCTGGCTTCTCTTTATATTGTTTCAATTAATTAATCTTTGGTATTTCATACACGGATAGTTTTTGTTTTAATTATAGTGAATTATTTTGTGCTAGATTACAGCGTTTTACAAAAATGCCACACCTTGATAATATGCTGGATTAGTTTGAAAATGAAATATAGGAACGTTCTTGAAAATACGGTACATAGAAAAACAAAAAATTAAACTTAAAAATAAATTTCAACGTGTTTTAAATTTTTTGTGAACAAAAAGCCTCTTTTAATCCAAAAATCGACATTGGAAATACATTGAAAGCTCTCGAGTCTCGAAAGCTAGAGAGCGTATTATGTTGATTTCCTGAATTGAAATGTCAAAGGTTTAAAGCTAAAACTTTTTTTTTATTCATAAAGCTGCCGATACTTCCTCGATTAAACATGTACAATGATGCTAGTCATTTATTTTGCTTTTGATGATTTGACGTTTACTGCATTGGGTGAAAAAAACATAAAAACTATAGAAAAATTCCAGCTAAAATTATCATTCCGCATAGTAAATCAGATGTAAGCTGGTAAAAAGGGAAACAATTCTTATTTTTAATAGTAAAGATTAAATATTTAACAGTTAAAGTTATGGTTTGAGTAGTTAGAATTGCTGCTGGACTAGTAGAAATCACCATGCTGGAATAGTAAACCTTAAAAGGATCGGTTGATAAATTTTACTTTCCCACATAGACATTTTTAATGTTAAAAGTAATAACTTTTTCCTTTTTTGCCAGCTTGCACTCGATTTACTGTGCAGAGCAGTAACTTTGCTGGAATTTCTTTACAATTTTTATGATTCTATTCTCTCAGTGCGGGGAAAATACACTTTTTGAAAAAGAAACAGCCTACATTGAGTACATTCGGAAGAAACGATGTATAAAACAAACAGATTGCTTATCAGACACTAAAAAAAAGTAGCTAATCCATGAGGAATCAACGAATGTAAAGTGTGTATATAGGCTCTTTATTTATGGCATTCTAATTCATCCCTGAAACCGCGTGCAAAAAACTGACCACTCGCGCTCTAAGCGTCATCACGTATGGGCCATTGAAGTAACAGAAGCAGCAGTCGAGGTAGTACAAGTGTAGAGGAAAAGTAAGAGGAGAGCATTCGAGGAGTCGTAACGGTATGAATAATGCGATGCTCGTGGTTGGTCGGATTGGATTTGAATAATGCAGCCCAGACCATACTCGTGGGTTACCGAAACCAAGAGAGGAAGGTTGCTTTTTAATTTGCCCTCACGCTCAGGATCCCTCATGTGGAATCTAATCTCTTGTCTAATGTGAGGAAGGGCATGGTACTCGGCGTCAATTATTCGTGGCTGTGCGTTTCACACGGTGTATTTCCAGATTTACATGGATGGTTATTCCTTCCCCTGGAGACGATGTTTTAGTTTTTTATGCATGAAGGAAAATTTATTTTTGTTATTTGCCGTTGGTAGTTTTATACAAAAAGAATGTCTAAAACAAAGTATGTATTTTTTTTGTTTTCTTTTTCTATTGCAGGAAAAAGTTTTACGCTGACGATAATGCTGCAGACGTCACCACCGCAAGTGGCGACCCTTTCCAAGGCCATAAAAGTGACAGTAGACGGTCCAAGAGAACCGCGTTCAAAAACACGTTAGTATTGTGATTTTGTTAAAGAAAACTTTATTAATTACAATTATGAAGTACGTAGACATAAGAAAATACTCTGGTCGTAAAGTTCTTATTCGTACCTTTTTGAACGACTCAGCATGAACTACAGTCGTTGTCAACTGCTATTTGTCTCAGTGACGCAACCTCTCTTAAATTTAAACTAAAAAAACATTGTTTTCTTAACCATGATTTATACACAGAAAAAGTATCAAAATAATTTCTAGCAATAAAGACTGAAGAACAAAGAAAACATTGAGCGGTAATGTTCTCAGGTCATCAAGCCTTCCATCCGTTCCACTTCGGGCCACGGCAGTTTCACTTCGGACATCCACAAGACCCTTTGGGATTCAAGCTGTCTGGTAAGCGATTATAATTAGATTATCTGTGTACACGTCTGTCTGTATCAATCCTTGATACGTATTAATTTCTCGCCTCTAGTCTTTTTGCCTAATTGAATCGTGTCACATAATCCTTAGCCGTACTTTAGAACTCTGTAGAAAAAAGTGCATGCCTACTTTTCCTTACACATTTTTCAAAACTATAGTTATTTAAAATTGGGCTTTACATTTTAAAATGTAAACGATGAAAAAAAATTAAAATTATGACGATTTTAGGTAAGAAAAGATTAAAAATCGAATAAGTTGCATATAACGTTTGTCTAAAAAAATCAAACTGAATCACTCTTAGACTGGTTAGCTTCTAAAAACAGAGTAGAATGCACTACACACATAACTACCCTTACACGTTTACATACACACTATTCCACCAGTCCACCCATTTTCCGAGTCAAGAGGGATATCCTTGGTATGAATAGTCAAGTGAAGAGAGATAGCGTGAAGCGAGAAAGGAGGAGGATGGCGAGGTACAGATACTATGGTGCACCAACAGTGCATTGTTTCGGCATGATAAGCGGCTTAAACGGATCTACGCTCAGTTTCTCGTAGCCTATTCTCTTTGTTTTTTTTTTCTACCTTTTCACCCTATTCCTCTTTTTCTCCAGAACTCATTTTTTCTCTTTCTCTTCTCAACTGACCTCTTGTCTCTTTCTACGGCGATCAGTAGGTAGACTTTTTACTCGGTTTCATGATGTGATCATCATAGCTGTCATCAATTCTTTTAAAAAACTTTTTTATTTTTTTATTTATTTTTATTTTTACTTTTATTTTTTCTATTAAAGTAACAAACAACTTACTAACTAACAACCCACTTACTTAATATTTTGTGTTCTTCCATCCCTTGTTTACAAAGAAGCAGCTCGGAAAAGGGATATATAACGTAGGTTTTATGTGTATTTAAATTGAAATTTTCTTTCTTTCCTTTTTCTTACCATTTTTTATAAATTTTAACTACTCTGGTAGAAAAACTCAAACTTTCTTAGACTTTCCTTTTAGTAAGTGTGTAGCTCAACAATTACTCTCTAACGGTATTTTAAGTTCAAATAAGTAATATATTCAAAAATGGTAATGAAATCAAAGTAACAATGAATTTCAATATAAATTACTTTGCGAACCTCTATTAATGTTACTCATAAAAGTCAAACCAAAATAAAAATGGGTAGTAGGAATGAGAATTATTTTCATCATCGATTAATTATAGTGCGCTCTCTTTCGGGTCAGTAGCGACAGCAGCGCGTATCGACAAGTTGCCCTCAGGGCAGTGCAGTAGTAAAAGCAGCAGCACCTGCCACCGTTCTCTTTCCCGCTGCTTAAACCCTTTCGGTTTAGTTCATGCTACGTCACACAGATTGCGCCCATGTCCAGTTCTACGAATGTGCTGGTCATTTTTTGTTTTACTGTGTTATATTTGTCTGACCAACTCTGAACTTGGACTACTAATTTTTGACGATCTTTATTTTATGGCATTGCATTGCTATTTTACTGAAGTTTTATCATTACTTTTGTACATACTTATAATTCGTTGATTTTAAAGTCCATAGATGATTAATTAATTTTTTCCATTAATTACTCAGCATGCATTGATTTAGGTATAAATTATTATTATTATTGTTGTTCAAAGAATTTCTTGAAATTTTACAATAGTTAACACCCACATATGAATCACAAAATCAGTAATGATCAAAATTCAAGTAAAGACTCAATTATTAGAGATAAAAATAAAGATGGACAGACAGAGGGAGAATTAGACTGAAGATCAAACTTGAGACGGAAAGGGAAGCACAGTGACAGAAGCGTCACCAGCGTGTTAAGCCAGAAGTGTAGATGAATAGGCGAGTGAGAAGGAGAGAGGAAGGGGAAGAAATAAGCGCATACACGCACAGTGAGGAATCCCCACGATACTGGCACTCAGTCGTCAGTCAGGGGGAGAGTTGTTAAGGTGCCCATTGAGGTGTAACTAGGGGGATGTTATTAAATTTCGCTCGTACCACCTTATACCGGGTGTACATAGAGCCACGGCTGGAGTCGAATTTCACGGCTTACCATCTTTCTCTCTTTCTCTCTCTCTCTCTCTCTCTCTCTCTCTCCTTCTTCCCTATCTTTTATCACCCTTGGCTTTGTAAAGAAGTCACTAAAGGAGTTCTGCTTCTCTGCACTTTACTTTGTGATGTAGAGGCCCATTTTCTCTTCTTTTTTCTTCTACGTGAAAAATAAAAAAAAAATGTAATATGCATTGACTACTTGGACGTTACGGTGTTCTTGTCTGGTGGAATTTTTTGCTCTTCCTTGAGCTGAAGAGGTAAGTTGGCTAGGCATGCGACCTTTTGTGAAAGTGGAGATTTATTCAGGCAACTTCAATTTTAGCATTTTATGTATTCCTGTTTTGAGCTGATTTTGTTTTTATTTATATACAACCTGCGTTTTCACGTTGTTAAGCACTGAAAAATTTTCTTTCATCGATGTACGTTGACTCATGTAAGACAAATATGGAATTTTTTCGATGATTAAACGTACGAAATCCAACATCCACTTTTACTTATGCCATTTTGGGCGTTAAAGCGAAAGAAACCATCATTTCCTGTCACATGCTATCTGTCATACTACACCTATATATGCTGAAACTACTATTTAGTATAAGACATTACTCTTTCTTAGTAATGACATCCAATAAAAAAAAAGGTCTATCATGTAAGGTCAAAAAAATGTTGACAATATTAGTCAAACGTATATTTGTTAGAAAAAAGCTTACTTCAAAAAAAGTAAAACTGAGTAAAAAATTGTTTGGGAGATAAGTAACAAGTTAGATGGAAAAGTTGAAAGCCAAATAATTTCAAAGTGTCCCTGGTGTATCAGAGGGCCCACTTTGGATAATGAAGCGACGTGATTTCTCATTTTGAAAATTAATTACCACCACGAGAGCGAGATAAAGAGGGAAAGGGTAAAAGTTAAACTGGAGGGTGGGAAGACTTTGCGGTGCTACTTTGGTGAGAACAGAGAACGCTTGTTCCAAAGAGAGCAAACATCCTCCCCTTCCCAATTATGTACTCTTTCTCTTTTTTTTCATTCTCCCTTTCCATCATTCTTGCCCTTGTTCTTCGTCTTCAGTGCATGTTTTCTTCGATGCTGGTTATTTCTACGATATTTTTTTACGTTTTTCTTTCTTCATCTACCATATTTTTCTTATTCAATGAAACAGTGTATAATCTTCACAACTCAATATAAATAACTCAAACTCTAGTCAGATTGAAAAACAAAAGAAAAATCTAACCGCATTTTCTCCAATCTTTGTTTATTTTCCTAATTACGATACTTTCCTTTCCTCCTCGAATCATTGTCCTCACCTCTTCATCCCATCCTCTTTCCATTTATTCTCTTGAACCACTTTTTCCTGGCTCTTGCTCTCTTTTCCTCCATCTTCTTTCTTTCTCGTTTAAGGGGATGAAAAATTGCAAGCGCTACGAGATTCAAGTTAACAAGAACAGCAGCTGCGTGCTCTTTTTAACTCTGCCCACTTCTTTTGCCGCTTCTCCCTCGACGACTCTGTGTGTCAATTAACCGCACCTTCCAAGCCCAGCGTGGGTAGCAGTGGTAGTGGAGATGGTGGTGGTAGTAGCGGGTACTCGACTCACTGTTGGAAAAATCGCGACGACCCCTCTTTCAATAAGGTGGCCTTTACCTCATTTGAGGGGGAGAACGAAGATTGCTGCCAGCCGGCGCTTTCTCTCTCTCTCTCTCTCTCTCTCTCTCTCATTATTCCAGTCCTCTTTCTCTGTTTTTTCCAGCCCAGTTTAGAACTGTCGCTCCATGGATCGCTTTGCACTGACTTCACGACTTTTTTCTCCCTCCACCCGAATAGTCTTCAATTTTATCTCTTTTTTTTTCATTTGGGATACTAAAGAAGTTTTGAAATGTTTTTTTCTTCATTTGTAAGGTCTCAGTGTAATAAACTTAGTTTTTCAATGATTGTTATTTTTTGTTGTAAATAATTCACAACAACTTTCATTTCAAATATCTTCCAAAATAGATAATAGCTATGTTTATTTTCATACTACCTTTAGTTCTACTATAAGCCCAAATCTAATTAAATCTTAATTTATTTGTGTTTCCTATCTCATCATTATTTTGTAGGGATAGAAGCCAATCAAGTCTCCAATTTCAAACAATATTTTCAGAATTAACTCATGACTTTCTAAAGCCTCACTTTCAGTCGTAGACGTTGATGAAATTGAGTACTTTAATACTTGTTGCTCTGGTAAATTACATGGTCAGTCTAAGCAGTCTTAATTTTTCAGATAAATTTTTACTGCATGATCCCTCAAACTTTGAAAAAAGTAGAAAAAATACATGTTTTAAGACGCCAGTTTAAAAAATACGCAACCAATGGACGATATAGAAATGGCCCCTAAAAAATTTCACCCTTGTGATCATTCCAAGTAAGTAACTGCCTCAAAAGAGTGTGGGAAGGGTCGGCACCTTAATACTAGCACATGGTTGTTTTCGTGACCCCCAGTAGGTACCAGTAAGCAACAGCAGCACCAAATCAGTGCCCAAGCGTGCGGATCCTTTAAATTCGCGTCACATTTCAGACCAACCGGAAGGGAGAGTGAGCGTGGGTGGATGTACGTACATGAGGATACATGGTCGTCGTCCTCGTCCAGCCAGCCTTGACTGTCTTTTAATCAGGTCTTGCTTTCGCTCCTCCCCTCCTACTTTTTTGGAGTTAGACTGCTACTGGCCTGGTGGAGGACGGTAACTAATGACGCGTCGTTGCTTCGACCTTCAACCTCTTCCATGTCCCCTCGTATTCGTCTTCCATGTGGACGTGATAGTGTGAGCATATACGCCTTGGCTATCTGTCCGTTAAACGTACTCTGTAAGTTGGAGAATCAGTGGGAGACTTTTTTTTAGCTTTTTTTGAAAAGTAGTTCATATGTATCAAAGTTAGATTTTTTTTCTTCATCAAA